TCCAGTTTGCTAGAAGGGTTAAGGAGAGAACAGTCAAATGAAGTTGGAGAGGTAGATAGGAGCTAGATCATGCAGCATTGAGTAGACCATGATGAGGATTTTAAAATTTTATGTGAAAGGAAGCCATTAAATGGACGGAGAATGTACGTAATACTTTTTTTTTTTTTTTTTTTTTTTTTTAATGGCATGCCAGCTACTATTGAGAGAAGAGACAAAGCTAAGAGTGGAAGCAGGGAGACTGGTTAAGACATGGATTGGAGTAACAATAGTTCAGATGGAGAGAAATGGATTAGAGATACATTTTTGAGGTAGAGTCAAACTTGTCTTGATTTGGGAATAGAATGTCAGCTACAGACATCTAATTTAAGATGGCTGTGAAAAAGAAATTACTGCACCAGGCTGAGGTTTGTAATACCTGACCTCCGGGGTCCCATTGACCAACCAGTCAGTCTCTGGTTCTACGGACTGTATTCTACAAAAATGTATTCCATCTATTGTTATTCTGAGTGAGGTCCAAGCTACCATGCAGCTGCTTTCTTTTATAAATGGGGAAAACCACCCTAAGCCTAAAGCCAACAGTCTACTTTAAGCAAAGACACAAAGCTGTATACACAGTAGCCAGATGGAGTAGAAAGACCTCTCTGACTTAGGTCACATCAGAACAGTTACGGTTTTATACTACGATGGGTTTGATGATTTATCTGGCAAAGCTATGATGTTTAATCCTCTGAAAAGTACCCAACTGTGTGAAACTGGCAGTCTAGATATGCCTGTCAATAATCAATCAAAAGCCTGAATTTCTGGATTTGTGCCAGCCAACATTATCGTTTTGGCATTTCTATGAAAACAGCTAAGCCTTTTAAAAGTGTAACAGCAGGTTTCTACAACAGCATGGTGTCTCTCATTAGTGGAGCATCACTTGCTGAATGGAAAATGTGATTTTCATATATAAGTACTTGGATATAAAAATATCACTCACAAACTGCAGTTGAGCCTTCTCATCTTTCTGCCATCATTTCTCCTGGGCATACGTCTACCCTACCACTTGCTCTGGATTTTTCTCCTCCATGAAACAAGGGCCCACTTTCTCATCCTTGCATCCTGGCACATAGTTGGTATTTATTGTGACACAAATGATTAAACACACATAATTTTCCTCAGCCATGTGAACTTTATTTACTTTGCTCAGTGATTTGTCCAGGGTCAACATAATAAACTTGTCATCCTTTTTGTCTGCCAGAATCTGAACTTCCTGCATTTGAAAATTCCCCATCTTACAAGCTTGTTGGGAATCAGCGCATGCCTTTCACTATAGAAGCTGAAGTCCAGATATTGTCTGCTTCTCCATGTGACACTACAAATTAAATGTTCCCTGGACTTTGAATTGGTAGCCAGAGGCACAACTGAAGTAGTCATGGGATAATTCTCTGGTGACCATGGCAAATGCAGCAAGATGAAGTTCTTAGAGCAGTACTGGCTGCCATGATAGCCCAGGGTTCTGTGCCTGTGGTTTTAGTGATGAATGGTGGCATCTGATACTCAGCAGGGACGATGTCCTCTCTGCAGGTTGTGTGGAGTGACTATGTGAAGTGACCACATGGCAAAGGGTGATGTCCAGGTGCCTAGTATCCAAGCCTGATTCTCCAGACATGCTGGTGATGCAAAACTACCTATAATTCTTTTAAGAAATTACTTTTCTCCCTAAATCTATGAAAGCTAGAATTTGGTGTCTACAAGTAAAAACTTTGACTCATATAGTCACATAATAGCAGGGCTAAAGCTGTAACCCAGGACTTTGAACTACTAATTCTAGTGTTCCTTCTTAAAATACAGATCTCTACTCTCCCAACAACCCACATTTTCACATTACATACATCTCTGCATCACTCTTTGTTCTCCAAATGTATACTTTTAACGTCAGTTGATTAATATTTCAAGCAACTGCATTGGCAGTTGTCCTTGCAACATTGTTTCAAATGCAGCAATAGCATCTGTATAGCTTTTTATGTAATATTAAATTTTTTTGCATTTGTCTTTTATAGACGTAGGTGGAAAATGAAAATACTAATGTGACTGAGAAAGAGGAAAATGATCAGACATGCTTAAAGCAGCTCTTTAGCATTAGAATGCTTATTGGTCTAAAGCCTGCTGTGTTTTGTGAACAATTTAAGAGCATTTCATAAAACATTTTATGAGATATTATTTAAAACAAAGTGATTTTGTAACATCTTTATATCTGAATAACAAGTTTGTTCAATTTTTATAGATGTGATTTTTATATAAACCTTTATGATGAACTTCTACAAAAAGAAATTGCACCAAAATACGTAACTGCGATATTGAGTGCATGCAAATAGCCTATAAATAACAACTGTTCATGTCTCCTGTGTGATGGACAGATACAGAATATGAAGACCTGATGCTTTATTTCCAATTTATCATTGTAGCAAAAAAATAATAATAATAATAATAAAGTTTAAGGTTGTTCTTGTGTACTGAAATTTGGAAATGCAGTATATACCACAACCAGCAGATGTCAGAATGGGATCGATCTCTTTAAGACTCGTTTGAAAATACAGCAGGAGTTTCTGAAGGGACTGAAGGTTTTCTTCTGTGCTTAACGCACTCCAGTCACACTGGCCTTCTTTACTCCTTAAACTCATCTGTTTTAATACTTTTTCAGTCTCCTCACTCTATCAGGCAAATTCCTAGTCATCCAAATCTTTACTACTGCTTCCCCTTCAATCCAATAGGTCAGGACCTCCCTGTGCCATGTTATCAGTTACCTGTATTTCACTTTCCTAGCAGTTTATATAATGAAGAAATCACTGATGAAATTATGTAATGTCTGTCTCCCCTGCTAGATGTTAAGTCTCTTCAAGGTACATGCCATGAATTCTCTGCTCTCTCTCTCACCTACCACAGTACCTGGCCCTCTGTAGTCACTGAATACATGTGAAAGTGAATACCGCTACCAAATAGATTGGGAACATTTTTCTGAGGCATGGATGACAGGTAGTATCTGGAAAGTCAGTAGTTTTTCACCTTCAACTCAGCAATTTATTCAGCCTCTTCTTTGTAATTACATGCGACAGGGAAATGTGTGAGATAGTACTTGCATTCAAGTAGTTTTTAGTAACGGGGGAAAGAAATGACAAAATATTGCCCCCATAGTGGCAATCCTTACTAGAGTTCCCATGTTCATATTCTGCTTTACAAACTGCCTCCAGTGAAGAAGAGCAGTTTCCACAAAGCAATCCACCTTGGTCACAGTAGTTATGACCTCAAGGATTCTTCGTTAGCTTTCCAAACATTTATCCTATCTGCCTCCTGGGACAATTATTCTTTGACCTAACAGCCTTTTTTATTAAAAACAGCTCTCAGACTCTGACTATAGGTATTCTCAAGACGAAGCCCCTTTAATTTAAAAAAATCATTTCCTATTAGCGTGATTTCCAGACTCTTTCAGTACTCGTAACTACCAGATTCTACTTTGGCAAGTTGGCTATTCTTGTAGCATCTGTCAGACCTGGAGACCTTAATGGTGTAATTTTATTACTGCAACCTAAAATTGCTTTCATTTTTAGTTTTTATTCTTATTCTGAAACCAGTCCAGAATTTCAGAATTGGAAGGGACCTTAAAGTAATTAACATTACTAGTTAACCAAAGCAGATCCTGGGCTCATTAAATTAGTTGGACACTTTAAAAAAATAGATTCCAGCCCTGGCTGGTGTGGCTCAGTGGATTGCGCACCGGACTGTGAACCAAAGGGTTGCCAGTTAGATTCGCAGTCAGGGTACATGCCTGGGTTGCAGGCCAGGTCCCCAACAGGGGTGCAGGAGAGGCAACCACACATTGCTGTTACCCTCTCTTTATCCCTTCCTTTCCCTAAAAATAAACACATTTAAAAATAAGAGATTCCTGGACCCCATCCAGCACAATTCTGATCCAGTAGGTCTTTTGTTTAATTTTTCCCACATGATTTGGCGTGCCGCTTGTTTTGGAAAGTACCTCTGAACAAGATGCCTCACACAGCCTTATGCAACATACTAATGGTGTTCTTTTCCCCATTATACTTGAATCTCTCCTGTTGCAGGTAGCCCATTACAAAGAAAGATCTGTGCATGAAAAGGCTTCCAACTATCCCTACCATGCATTTTAATGCCCACATACATCCAACATGGGAGAAAGGGAATTTCCACGATGATGGTGAAGAGAGATCCCAGAACACAGTCATACATAAGGCATAAAAGACTCTGAGTCTAGAAGGGGGCAGGTCAGAAAGCTCCAGGAAAACTTACTCAGTAAGGTGAAATAACGTATCTAATGAAACTGAACACTGTCAGCAATTTAGACAAATGGCAAAAAAGTTTAGTTGATTTAGTGGTAAATACAAAGCTAAGCCTAGGAAAAACAAAAAGATATATAGGAAATGAAAACAACAAATAGCACCTGGAGTTCTAATGAAATTAAACTAATAAAAAATCACATTCATAAATACATTCGGAGGAAGAAGAAAATGGGCAAATAATGGAAGTAAAGGAGGGAAAGAGACCTAGATCTTTACAGACATGGAGAAACCAGCAGGCAATGTCTTAAAGTAGAAATAATCAGAAAGTAACAATACAATCATGCTATTTAGAGGCATGAGGTAAATATCAATACAATTATCTAAAAAGAGGTGAATGTAGTTGCATTGTCTCTGGGAAGAAAATTAAAGACTGCCCCCTTCCCCAACAAACTTGGAGAACTATATGACTTATAAAATATATTGTTTTTTCCTTCGGTGATATTACATATTTTCAGTATCAAGCAGCAGACGATGCCTTTCACAGAGGTTGCTTAACAGTAAGTCAATGTCACTTCATCAGGATTAGCAACTTCCAAAACAAGATGAACTCAATTTCAAGCAGTTGTAATAATCACAATATTATAGTAGTCTTACCAGTGATTGTTGATTTGCAGCAAAAAAGCAGGTTAAGAAGAAAAAAAACACCAATTTTTCTTAATTGGTACATTTATTAAAAATATAGACTAATGGTCCTGTGCTTAAATGCTGAGGTTGTGTGCTGGCTTCCATAAAACTAATCATAAGGAACTCTTCAACAAATACATTCCAGACAGAAGTAAAAAGGTCAACAGAAATGACTGACAGGACAGGGCGACTGCATACATAATTCTCTTATATAATTAATATTTGCTAGAAAATGGAATTTGACATTATTTACAATCACAGCAACATTGATGGAGGCTGAATATCACAGGCATAGAAATGTCTTTTCATACTTTCCAAATAGTTTTATATTTTAGCTATGAAGATCAGTTACCACAACCAAACCTGTTCTTTAACAAGTAGAAATTTTATGTCCATTCAATGAAAGAGTCTCTGACATCTTTCTGGGCCTATTCATTTGCAGATTCATTTGCCGAGTGAGTAGAAACTGTAACCAGGTTCTTCGTATCATGCATTCATATGTGATGTCCAATCTTTATATGCTGTCCAATTTCTTTAAAATAAATGGAGCTGAAAAGAGAATTTGTTTTCATTAGCTCACAAGTGACATTATGAAATTCTAAGATTGGGGGTAAAACTTACAGGTTTAGATCAACACATTTTTTTTTAAAACAACTCCTAGTGATGGCCAAGCCTCTGCCTGTGCAACCCAGCAAAAGGGACTCCCATCTTTCCAGGTGGCCCATTCCAGTGTCATGCAGCTATAACTATTATAAATGTATAAGTTATTATAAATGTATGTCTTTCACACATTACATGAAATCCTTTCTCTAAGTAGTTCTCCAAGTAGCCACAAAGAGTAAATCCAAACCCCTTTCAAATGATTATCCTTTACTCTTGCGATCTGCCAAAGGCACAAAACATGATAGTCATTTTTTACCTTTAAAAAATGCATTTAAAAGGCAGAGGGTGAGAGTGGGGACACAACAATGAACTGGGGAATCAGAAGAGCCAGGCACACATTGTGATTCCCTCACTGATGAGCTATATTTACCTCTGCCCTCCAGATCACAAATAGTACAGCTCTACTTTAATTATAAGGGCCTGTTAGGATGGTGTAGATAAAAATGTCTAGAAAACTACAAAGTGTTGTCCTAAATATCTAAAGAAATTATATTATTGTCCTGTGTAAAAGTGCTATGGCCAAAATAAACCCATGAAAAGACGCTCAACATTATGTATCATAGAGGCAATGCAAATTAAAACTACAATGAGATACCTATTGGGATGGCTGTTATCAAAAAACTGGTGGCAAGAATGTGGAAAAATTGGAACCTTTGTGGTCGCTGTTGGTGGGAATGTAAAATGGTATAAATGCTGTGGAATAGAATGGTGGTTCCTCAAAAAATTAAAAATAGAGATCTCTGTATATCAATGTTCACAGCAGCATTACTTACAGAAGCTAAAACATAGAAGCAACCCAAGTGTCCAAAGATGGATTAATGGATAAACAAAATATGGTATACAATGGAGTATCATTCAGCCTTAAAACGGAAGAAATTCTGACATATGCTACAACACGGATGAACCTTAGGGTATCATGCTAAGTGAAATAAGCCCACTACAAAAAAGGCAAATACTGTATGATTCCTCCTATATGGGGCTCTTAAAGAGTTCTGAAGATGGATGATGGTAATGGTTGCACAATATTATGAACGTATTTAATAAACACTACACTGTACATTTTAAAAAGTTAAGATAGTAAATTTTATGTGCATTTTACCATAACTTTAAAAATTGGGAAAAAGGAGCCATGACAAAAAAGCTGCCAGAATCTTTTTCTCAATACTCATACTAAATTAGTAAAACGTTTTGTTAATATTAAACTGAAGATATTGAGATCTGCCAGAAAACAACAAAGTCAGCAGCATATCCAGTCTTTTCCACTAATTCTTATTAGCATGTCCAGTCTTTTCTAATTCTTATCAGAAAAAAAAAAACCCCATCAAATGAATGCATAAACAAAATGTGGTATATCCATACAGTGGACTAGGAAGGGAATAACAATACATGCTACTGTATCAGTGAACCTTGAAAACATTAAGCAGTGAAATAACCCAGACATGAAAGATTACATATTGTAGATTAGTGGTTGCCAAGGGCTGGGGCAGGGGAGAAATGGGATTTGACAGCTAAGTGTTGAGAACTGTCCTGTCTGGTTTCAGGGACTGTAGCCTCGCTGACAGGTGAGAGGGCCCCAAGGCTGGAGCTGAGCAAGGAGGTCTTGGGAAAATAGGCCACTGAGGAGACAAAACCTCATCACCCTGCTTGGCCCCGGAGGATGGCTGGTTCAATGATGGGTAAGACCCGTTGATGGCAGGGGCAACCTAAGACAGACAGTCACAGTCACATAGGGGCCATGAAGGACGGACTTGGGGGATATGGAGAAGGGGCAAAAGACCCTCACCCCTCTGCTTTGTCATAGCCGAGTCTGAGAGAAGTCCCCTTTTCTTTCGGCTGCTCTGCCCGCAGCCTGACTGGGTCAGTGAAACAATACTAAACAGCCTTAAACTGGATTGGGCAGTTCCTGGGGACAATTAGGCCTGGAAAAGAATGCATTAAATCCTATGAGACTTTGCTAAGTCTCCAGACACCAAGAAGTGTCTGGAATGACTTTCCTCTATCCACGGCGAACCCTGGGGGGGACTCTGTGCCGGACATGATAAACCCCCCATTAGCTAAGGGCATGAGCTCCTTTTAAAGGGAAAGAAAATGTTCTAAAAATAGATTGTGGTGATGGCTGCACAAATTGATTATACTAAGAAACCACTGAATTGTACACTTTAAAAGGGGTTAATTGCACAATGTGGGAGTTGTATCTCAATCTAAAAGTGGTAATACAGAACAGTATTCTGTATTTTTTTTAAACCAATTCATATAAAATACGAAGGTCACTGAGAAGAAACAAATATTTTACTGGCAGCTAAGTCAACAAAAAATGGTGAGTGGTAGAAATAAGTTGGGAGTTGCTAAAAGCTGTTGAAGAAGCAGGATGATTTGGGAGTTTCTGTTTAACTGGGCTCCCTCTTCCAGAGAAACAGTATAATATCACAAGCAGTGAAAGGGGCACGGAATAAGGGAGACCTGCCCTCAGTGAGCTCTGGGCTAGGCCCAACATGTTTCTACAAGATGAACTTGATATGGTCTTCATTTACTTAATCATGGCTGCCTCTACAGACCTGTTAGCTATATACAACAAGGAGTAATGAAAAGAATACTGAACTGAACCTGTGCTGGTGTAGCTCAGTGGACTTACCCTCGCCTAGAAACTGAAGGGTCGCTGGTTGGATTCCCTATCTAGAGCACATGGCTGGGTTGCGGGCCAGGTCCCCAGTAGGGGGCGTATGACAGCCAACCACACATTGATGCTTCTTTCCCTTTCTCCCTCCCTTCCCCTGTCTAAAAACAAATGAATAAAATCTTAAAAACAAGAAAGAGTACTGCACTGAGAATGAGATGCGGGCAAGTCACTTCTGCGATTCATATCTAAAACTAGCTCTAATATTCAGTGTGCCTGCAACGTAAGGTCCCCTTGAAAGTCAAGTTCAAATTAACAAATGGGATATACAGAATCTTAGGCCCAATCTCCCTCAAAGGGTTATAGTCAAGATCACGTAATGAAAATAGGTTTCTGCCAAATGTAAAATCAAGTATATCCTCGGTTATTATCATTAAACTCTACAGACTCATACCCTTCCCTTCTCACTCCTTCACCCAAAAAGCAATTTTTAGTTATCCACTGTACGAAAACAATTTTGGGGATCACAAAGGTCAGCACTAAAGTATGGAATCCTAGTATTGCGTTAAGAGGTCTGGATTCTAGGTCAAGATCACACTCTGCGTTGCTCAATGACCTTGAGCCAGCCATTCCTCTGCTGTTGATCTCGGTTTCTGCCTGCAAAACGAGAGAATTGCTCTGGGTTATAACCCTTGTGGGCCTGATTCAAATGCTCTTAAGGCTGGGGCGAGGAAGGACGATTAACCACGCAGTCCCGGCCACCACGTGAAGTTCAGTATCCCCACTCTGATGCGCAGACTCTGAGGCGCGCATGCGCCCGCTGCCCCGACGCGCCTTTCCCTGGCTCCCTGCGACCGCTTAGCTCAGCTCAACAGCCCCCAAAGGCCCGTAGGACCAGAGCTGGGCGGTCGGTGTCAGCGGGCTCCCAGCTGGTCTCACGGTTCCAGCCTGGAAGGACACTCACTGACTCGCAGCAGGGCCACGTAGATGAGGAAGTTCCGTATGGAGGCAATCACATCCTCACGCATCTTTCGTCTCATCTCCTCGGGGTCCAGCTTCGGAGCGAGGCCCTCAATACGAAACATCGCAGCGCTGCCTCACCAGCTTCCAACTGCAGCGCTCTGCTCCTCTGAGTAGTAGCCTTGTACCTGGAAGTAGGCACATTCCCGTTTCCGGTTCCCGCCCCTCGTTCTTTTTTGCGCGGCCACGGGAGCCGGCAAGGGACAATCCCGATCTTAACCGAGAAGTTCTTATAAGAGCTGCCGGAAGGGGGCGGCCACAATCTTAGCAGCACAGGACTAGGTTCTTCCCTGCTGTTTAATGACCTCCGTCTTGAGCTAGGAGCACCATGGTGTGAAGTGCTTTTACGCCCCAGAGGGGGCAGTACACATGGGTGCCACCGTAAACACTGATAATAGCTAATTTTTATTGAGTACTCAGTACAGCCCTACCCTATGAATTAGATGTTATAATCTTCATTTCCTAGATGAAAAAATTGAAGCACAGAAATCTTGAAAACAACAATTTGCCCAAATGTGCTTTAAGATACCTCAGGATAAAAATAAAAAAAGTTTGAGGAAGAGAGATGAAATGATATTAGCAAAATGTTGAAAATTGCTTAAGCTGGTGCTTAGTACTTCACTAAAATTATTTTTCCTTTCTATTCTGGGTGTTTAAAATTTTTCATGAAAAGTTAAAACAAAAAAGTAAAGATGATGAAACTTGCTCGATTGTGCAACTCGTAAATACAGAACAGGGTTTTGTATCAGTTAAGCCTGTGAGACCCCAAAGACAAGAGGTTTTGGGGGTTTTTTTGTTTGTTTTTAAATTATCCATATAGTTGCTGTAGCCTCATTTCTGGAGTTAAATGATCCTTACAAATTATAATATTTGTCCAGTAATATAGTACATACAAAGCAAGTTCAAATCTGTTCAACATTTTACAGATGAGAAGAAGGAGGCTCAAAAACTGAGTGCTCTGCTTAGAGTCATTCTGCTAGTGGTGGGCAGAGGCAGGGTTCTAGTGCAGGTAATTAAAATGTCAAGCTGGAATCTCTTCCCCCTGCACCCCACTGCTCCTCTGTTAGTTTTTAACAGCTAGTGCCTGCCTGGATGGGCATCACCGGAGTCAGAAGGTAGAAGTTGAATACAACCAGACTTCCTGTCACAGAATCATCAGAAGAGTATGCTCCAAATTATGCTTGCCAACTAGCCATATATAATTCTTAGACATGAACCAGATGACTGAATTGCTCACATAATTCAAAACCAGAATAGAATGTTCCTTTCTTGATTGCACATTGCATAGCAACAATGGATTTTGGAAAAATTAGAATAGTAATTTACTATGGGAGCAATGAATAACTATAAGAATTGCCGCCCACCTTCCTCATTAACAGAATGTAAGACATTGGGACAAGAAAGGGAATGCAACTGTGTATTCAAGCTTTAACAACCTACTGCATCTATAATTCATATGGTGGAATAGCAGAGGCAGCTCTGGAATGGGAGGGGCTGACTCCCAAGGAATAGCCTCCATCTAACCCTTAGAAAGCCTGCACAGGTGCTGGAAAGCAGCAGGTGCCTTGAAAAGAACCAGGACAGGAAGATTGGAGACATAGCCTCTAGATCTGGCACTGCAACTACCTAGCCACATGATGAGGGACAAGTCTGTTTCATTGCAACTTTGTTTCTTTAGTTGTAAAGAAGGGAAATATGATTAAATGCTCATAAGAGTCCCTTTCAGTTCTAGCCATGTATGCAATTTGAATTCTAAGACATTCTGGTTTGGAGTGAACAGATAATCAACATATTATCAAATGTGGTGAAATATCAAAACAGCCAGTGTACATGTGTTTTCCATGGTAGGAAGAATACAACAATAAGGTGTATCTCATCCATCTGAATAGTGAGGCAAAATGGATTGGCAAGGAATGAGTTATGAGATTCCAGCAATTTAGATCCCATATGCTGGCCAAGTTTAGATAAACATTTCTCATATAGAACTACCAATTTTTTTTCTCTTTTTAAATTACATTTTATTGATTATGCTATTACAGTTGCCCTGATTTTTTCCACTTATCCCCCCTCCGCCCAGCACTCCCCACTCCCTCAGGCAATCCCCCATCATTGTTCATGTCCATAGGTCATGTGTATGACCATAGGTCATAGGTCATAAATTCTTTGGCTACTCCATTTCCTATACCATACTTCACATCCCTATGGCTATTCTGTAACTATTTATACTTGTTAATCCTCTCACTTCTTCAACCATTCCCCCACACCCCCCTCCCATCTGGCAGCCATCAAAATGCTCTCTCTATCCATGATTCTGTTTTTGTTCTTGTTTGCTTAGTTTGTTTTTTAGATTCAATTGTTGATAGATATGTATATGTTGCCATTTTATTGGTCATAGTTTTGATCATCTTTTTCTTAAATAAGTCCCTTTAACATTTTATATAGTAAGGGCTTGGTGATGAACTCCTTTAGCTTTTTTCTTGTCTGGGAATCTCTTTATCTTCCCTTTGATTCTAAGTGATAGCTTTGCTGGGTAGAGCACTCTTGGCTGTAGGTCCCTGCTTTTTATGACTTTGAATATTTCTTGCTAATCCCTTCTAGCCTGAAATTTTATTTTGAGAAATCAGCTGACAGTCTTATGTGAACTCCACCTTAGGTAACTAATTTCTTTTGCTGCTTTTAAGATTCTCTCTTTATCTTTAACCTTTGGCATTTTAATTATGATGGGTCTTGGAGTGGGCCTCTTTGCATCCATCTTCTTAGGGATTCTCTGTGCTTCCTGGACTTGCATGTCTATTTCCTTCACCAAATTAGGAAACTTTTCTTTCATTATTTTCTCAAATAGATTTCCAGTCTCTTGCTCTTTCTCTTCTCCTTCTGGCACCCCTATGATGCAAATGTTGGACCTCTTGAAGTTGCCACGGAGGTTGCTTATACTATCCTCATTGTTTTGGATTCTTTTTCTTCTTGTTGTTCTGATTGGTTGTTTTTCGGTTCCTTATGTTCCAAATCGTTGATTTGGTTCTTGGCTTTATCCACTCTACTGTTGTTTCCCTTTAAATTGTTTTTTATTTCAATTAGTGTATCCTTCATTTCTGACTGGATTTTTTTTTAATGCTGCTGCGGTCCTCACTAAGTTCCTTGAGCATCCTTATAACCAGTGTTTTGAACTTTGCATCTAATAGATTGCCTATCTCCATTTCGTTTAGCTTTTTTTCTAGAGTTTTGATTGGTTTTTTCATTTGGGCCATGTTTCTTTGTCTCCTTGTTGTGGCAGCCTCCCGGTGTTTGTTTCTATGTATTAAGCAGAGCTATTTTGACTCCATGGTTTGGTAGTGTGGCCTAATGTAGTAGATGTCCTATAGGGTCCAGTGGCATAGCCTCCCCTATCATCCAAGCTGGGTACTCAAGGTGTGCCCTTTATGTGGGCTGAGTACACCCTCTTGTAGTTGAGCCTCGGTTGCTGTTGGCAGATCAATGGGAGGGATTTACCCAGGCTAGTCAGCTGTAAGGATTTGCTGTGACCATTTACCACCAACCTCTACACTCAGTGGAGGATCAGTTGTGTAGGAGCAGGGTGGTGGTGTTCCAACGTAGTCTGTAGCTCTCCACTGGGTGTGCTCGCCCTGAGGTTCCCCGGGGAGTTAAGCCAAGGTCAGCCCCAACCTGTGTTTTGCCCTGGGCCACTCTGCCTGAACTATAAAGCAATCTGAGACAATCTGAGATGGCTGCTACTTGTGCTGGGCTTGGAGTTCCCCAGCTGAAGCCAAGCTGTGAATCTAGGCTGGCTGTTCCAAGTGGTGGGCCTGGGGCTCACTGAGGACAGCTGTTGCTTATTTGAGAGGATTTAGGAAGTTGTGCAGTATGATTCAAGACAAGCCATTCATATGGAAAAGCAGCTTGGGTGGGCCACTAAGTTGGGTGAGGGCAGAGTCTCTGGGGATCTGTAGGGAGGGTCAAACAGAGTTAGCCAGGTTGATGGAGCCTCAGATATGGCACCAGATTGCCAGATCTGTGGCTCTGTGCAGGGAGGGCTCAGAAAAGGGACAATGGCCTCTGCTTACTGTGATGGCAGACACTTCAGCCTCTCCCAGTATGCCATTGGTACCTTTCAAGCTGCAACCTGCATGGTGGAGCTCAGAGGGAGTGAGTCTTAGTAGTTAAGTCCATGTGTGGGTTCTTTAAGAGGAACTGCTTGGGGCTCCAGAAGTCCCACCAACTCAATCCCTGCTGGTTTTTGCAGCCAGAAGTTGTGGGAACTTATCTTCCTGGTACTGGAACCCTGGGCTGGGGGGCCTAGTGTGGGGCTGGGCCTGCTCACTCCTGAGATATCCCTCCAGTATTTTTATTCACCACACGTGGGTGAGAGACCAGCCCATTCCATGTCTGTGCCCCTCCTGCCAGTCTCAATGGATGTGGTTTCTTTAATTCCATTGTTGTCAGACTTCCATTCAACTTGATTTCTGACAGTTCTGAGTGGTGGTTGTTCTATATTTTAGTTGTAATTTTGATGTGGTTGTGTGAAGAGGAGAGCCATGTCTGTCTAAGCTGCCATCTTGATTGGAAGTCTTGCCAATTTTTTTCTCTACTGAGATGGATTTGAATAATTTACTTGGATTCACTGAGAACCAAGAAGGGAGAAATTGGTAAAAAATCATGTGTCTTGGTGAAAAGAACAGACTTTTAGGATTTGAATTTTATTCATCCAATGCTAAGCAGCCCCTGTTTAGTTGACTGGTGATGTGGTGGCAAATAACTGGCTAGTTAAATGGCAACAGTATTCTCATAGAAAGGTCTGGTGCTTGCCTGACTACCTGTTGAGAGAAAGGAAAAAAGTGGGTGGAAATATGGAACAGCTGTATTTTGAGGCGAGGAATTGGTTCTAGATACAGTCTAGGAGGGCAAACTGTTACTGTCTCAGAAATGTTCATCCTTCTTACATGGCTCCAACAATTGTAACAGAGGAAACTCATTAAAAGAGGTTAGGCTCCTTTCTTTGTCTTTTTTCTTTTTTCTTTTCTTTTGGCATGCAGGTGGTGGTATTTTCCAATTACAGTTCATTAAAGTGAGGTGAATTGAGAGAACATACTTTAGGAAGTTAACACTGGAGTGAGATGTTTCAAATCTTGGATCCCTCATTTTTTT